TTCCCTTCCCAAGGTCATGCATTTCCTTTTCACTAAATGCCACGAATGTTATGCGCGGGCTCAGATCGGAAATCCAAGGCGTCACATATATATGGCTTAACATGCTGAACGGGGCAACTTGAAAAACTGATGGAAAATTTAGCAAGAGGCGAAAATAAGTGGTGAGCCTGACAAAAATCGCCACAAATACTCATAAACATTTACAAAGGTCGCGAAAACAGGAAACTTGTATGAAAGATGGATACTTCAGGAATATGAATTAAAGGGAGATAATCGGGGACCATTAGAATCAGTTTCACTGGCGTAGGCGAAGAAACGGTAAAAAACTGCCACCAAGAGCCCAGAGAGAGGAAGAAAATGACATATGGCGAGTGAAAATTTAAAAAAATGCCTTTTTATAATTGAAAAATTAGATCCTTATCTCTTTTAGTGATTGACATTTATGCCGGGAAAGCACCGCAGACAAACGCAATTTGTGATTAGGAATCAAAACACATTTGCCCTTCAGAAAAGAAGGAAATTGACTGACGCGGTTTCGCTGTGTGTTCAGACGTTCCCGAATGACTATGTAACGGCCGCACAAAGTCTAACGACACCCATTTCTTCGTGTTTATTTGGGACTCCACATATCTGCGCACACAGGTGAATGTATATTGACAAGGGGGTTCAATATTGACGCAATGTAACTTGGCTTTGTACGGAGCTTCACAACCAGTTGATTTTTGAATAGAGTGATCCATTGCTTTACGTAGAGATCTTTGCCATTAGAATCACCCTTTTAAACTTCACTGACATTTGCAAAGCAGTTATTAGAAGCCTTGTGTCAATTTTTCACTCTATAAGCTCGAAGTTGGAACTATAACGACAATGCAGATAGTTCAAGGCGCCAAAGAAATAGGCTGCCTTGAAGACTGTCTTTGGAGGTAAGATTTTGAAGAGAACAATGCTAATAGCACTTGTTATCACGCGCAGTCAGGCTGTGGAAAGTGACTAAGCCAGTGAGGGGAGGAGTCAGGTTTAAAAGCTCTATCATCTGTTGTGTTCTAGACCTCCGACCACTTTCAGCCAGACAATATAAACATTCCTCGCATTGTCATTCCTTAAACGCCATATATAAGCAAGTTACAATCAGAATGCGATGGGGATCCGATACACAGGTAGTGCGGCATTGGATTACCAACAAGCGGAAAACACATTTGAATCCTTAATATGTGGTAAAACTATGGAAGAAGGAATAAAAAATTTCGCTTCATTTTGACACTTCCTGCTTACAAGACTACAGTAGTTAAACCTCTCCAAAGGAACATTAAAGGCAGTAGTCACTGCGTAAACACTGAAAGGCGTCTTGATTTATTGCATCAAACAATACTGTCGGGGTAAACAGTTGGATGAAAAACAATATTAATTTATTTAAATACAAAAGATGGTCGTGGAAAATAGTGATTAAGGCAGACCCTCTGGAACTATGCAAGAAGTCCGGCTCTGGGTAAAAACTTTAACGAATCAAATGTCACAAATAAGAACCCGAATAAAATATGTGTACAAACAACCATTAGGGTACTACGTAATTGATGTGCGTGACTGCCAAAAGTGAGAGTCTGAATTTTCCGTATTCAGTTGGCATAGCTTTAGCAAGCGGTACGGGCTGGCGTTACCCCCTAGCTAAGAATGAATTCGACTGTTTAATTGTACCCTCCCCCCACCATCATATGAATTATTAATAGTGATTAAAATTCATGTAATATTCGACGCACATTTGTCTTCAGAACGGACTAAGCATTTTAGCTAACTCTAGGACCGAACGCCTATCCAAAGGGCCAAAAGGTACTCATTCTCCCAAGAAAAGTAAACGTGATGCAAGAAGAAGTATTACCTATATAAAGCAGTATTCGGCTTTCTGGAGGATGTAAGTATTGTAGCAAACAAAGTCGATCTTCATCCAGGCTTTTAAATCATTCGATGGAATCCATTAGGCTTTCCTCTGCCTTGCTGAATCGTACCAAATGCCTCAATATTAGTTTAAGAGGGTAAACCCGGTTAGCCATAGTTGTTATTCCAAAGGTAGTTTGAGATGTATCTGTCAATCGTTCAGTCCTTTAGCTCACCAAAATCTACCTTGATCCCAAGCCTGGTATGGCTTACTTTTAAGGCTAATGCATTAAAAAATGGATTTCTGTATTACAAACTGCATGCAATACATTAACCTCACATCAGGACTCAAATAGGAAAAGTTTGATCATTCAGAGCATTTGGAGTTCCAGAAAAACCGTTCCAAATATTCGATAATTCGAATGATAGCCACCTACCGAATTGTGCACTCCACATGACTATGATTCAAACTTGTAACACAGCAAGGACTGAGAATAATAAAAATTAAATTATTACTTAAGAAGGCGGCACGATTTGTATCTGACATAAACGTATTTCCTGAGGCTTATCAAGCTGCTGCTCACTCCCTTAATGTATTCGCGGAATGTACGCACTTGAAAAGCCATTAATCACGATGCTCGGTCAATGGGAACAATCGTTATGGCCTTACAAATGAGCGGAGCACAAATCTACTTCCTCAATACACAAACAAGAAAGCAAGAAACAGAAATTATTGGCAAAAGGACAAAAAGATAGCAAAACTTTAGAAAGGAATGAGTCTTTCTAGAAATTATTGAAATGATTAAAAAGGCGACTGGTTTCCATAGGACCAGAGAGTATGGTTTGTAAGGGCTTAATTTCTAGTGAGACAGCAGTAGGCAACAATAGTACCCCTCGAGGCAAACAATGAAAAAGGTATGCACTGCGCAAGGCACGGCAGAAGAGAATGCTAAGAACCCACGTGGAATAGTGGGGCTGATTGTTTGGAGAAATAATATCTGCGTTTTTTCCTTTCATACTAGGCTCACCTCATTTGCAAGCTTAATGCCATCGGAGGGTGCCATCATAAATCGCAAAACACGTATAAATGCTTCCCCCAAGTACACCACATGCAAAGTGGAGCTTTAAAGTTGCTCTATAAAATCCAAAGAACATTTTGCACTAACAGTACTTTCCTCCTATTAGCACATCCACAATGCAATTTTTTTTAACTGAGCCCGAGGTCATATTTATCAGTTTAACGTTGACTGATTGCATATAATTTTGCCGCGAGCAGAATGGTTGGACTTGAAACACAAATGAAAATAAAGGACACTCAATGCCTGGAAGTAATTGCGTTTTCTAGCCTGTAAGTAAAGTGTGATGTGATAAAAAAGAACCAACAAAAATTGGTGCCACAGTCGAACAGTGAAACAGCTAGGCTGAGGTGGTCAATTTTCTCCTGAGTCTGATAACGAATTTGCTGTGGCAACCACTGAAGTACCGAATTGCAGAACGAACGACACGGTTTTCACATGACATAAGCCTATGGAATGAACCATTCCCTAGGCTTTTTGATCACAATAGTTTCAACTATTGTCAATTTTATTGACAATATGGGGCGACCGAGATACAGAGTAAGTGGCAAGGTTAAAAGTCCACAAAAGTCGCAACCAGTTGGAAAGAACGTGTCCTTAAGCAAACAAGTCATAATACTTACGATCATAAGACTGCTAGAGGGCTAGCCGTTGGCGTGGTACAAGTCAACCAACATCACCCGCAACTGACAATTCCATGGGTGATTTGACTATAGCTGCTAATATGAGCAATGCAGAAATTCAGTATAGGTTCTCAATACGTAAGCATACAAGGTAAATCGGAACTGAATGTTGATAACTATCTTGCTTTAATTGGTGGCAGGAAAAAACTGCGCCAAGAACATTCCATAAAAATTCATTGTATAGCGATGAATTCCCCGGGTGCTAATGATATACACGAACCAGAGGAATAACTGCGTCATTTTTCACATGCGAACTCTACATCCTTCCCACTAAAAACAAGCCGTCCTTCGCGGTGTCTTTTGGAAAAAGATAAAGCTACAACCAATTAGTTCACCTCCAAAAAAGGCAAAAGATCAGGTACTGCTGCAGGTCAATGCCGAGGAGATAATGCACACAGAAAGAGAGCAATTGTGGGAAGTTTTACGAAAGTGATATACTATATACGTTGACTCGGATAAAAAGGCCACTCCCTTGAGATGTGGTTTGCAGGAAGGGGAAAATACATACTGCCTGTGAAGTCTCATTCAGCTACACGAATCTGTCACTGAAACTGAGGTAGTAAATAGCACAGCCAAGTAACAAATTAAGCAAATCATAGATTCAAGTGTACTTACTAATACCACCACCAACTACCAGCATGGTGAAACCACACCATAGCTTAAAAGAAAAGTTTCCTGCTCTTTGCATACAAATTAATGTACGCGTATCATACAAGATAGACAACCCACTTTATCCCTTATTATAACTAATCCAAGTAAGTAGATTCAAGAAAAACCACGTGAGAGATTTCCAACGGAAATTCGGAGCTTGACCAAGGCTCGATTTAATTCTGCAGGTTTAATCGAAGCAATGCTATTGCCCTTGGAACAACAAATACTTCTTTTTAGGCGAAAAAAAATAGTAGGGCACTTAATGGAGATGCCCTATAAATTAAAAACACAAAACTCAAGGCACTTCTACCTGGAAAAGCAAGTGTTTATTTGAGGATTCATCTCTTCAAGCTAATGACTTAGAGGAGAATAAGAAATGTACGAAGTTTAAGAGTTATCCGCAAAGTGGAAAGGGGCTGGTGTGGGTATGGCCATTAGTCACATTTATAGCATCGTAAGGCGCCGGGGAGGTTATTAAGCGTGGCATGCACAGAAACGATAAAAGCAGGCGAATTTTGAAGGGCGTACGAGTGCAAGACTCTACATTTGCCTATTTTATAACGAAGTACAGATTTTTTTCACTGGGTTACAGGAAATCAAGAAGCGAGAAAAATATCACTTGCGACATTTGAACAGAGACCCGTTTAGGACGGGGATACAGGGTAAACCACGGTAAAATACAAATAGAATCACGACAAATATGAGTAAATTTTGCTGATTATTAAAATACGAAGGGACTCACCCTCAGCATGCTAAAAGATCGGAGTGTCCCGTAGGCGGAGAGTAGGCGGCACAGATTTTGCTCCGATAGATTCGTGGGAATTCCCGTAAGGAAGATGGCGTTGGCGTTCAGATGACCGACTGGGTGAACAGAGGGATTGGTGCCGGGAGGGAAGTAGTCACGAGGTCGTCGGATGCGAAGTGTGCTGCCAAGGCAATTGATCCCATCCAAACTCAACGTGGCAGTAGTCTCCTCAACCGACCTCAATTCTATGAAAGCAAAGTGGCGCTCCGAATTGACTTGTGCACACACCACTGGTTCGCCAACTGATTGGCACAAACCGCGGGTCTGAAGTTCAGAGTTGAAGAATGTCACCATGGTTTCGGAGGTGATACCTAGTGGGATGCTTCCAATGTACAGTCGACGGGCTTGTCTCGTTGAGTTTGAAGACGGTGTTGCAATTGTAGGATTGATGGAATTCCCCGCCATTCCATAAATTGCTGAACCAAATAAATCCGTCAAGGAATTGGTGGAGTTGGTGGTGTTTAAAAGTAAAGAAACTAGGCCATTTAAAGCAGGATTAGAAGCTGTTAACTTTGGTAGCCCGTTTGTGAGGGTGGTATTGTCTTTTGGTGTTTCTGATAATGATACTTGTGACACATCACGACTCATTAACTTATTTCCTTGAGGTATCGCCTTCAAGTGAGTATCGCTTGAGTCCTGATCGAATCGGGAATTCGGAAGATCTGTTCGTTGGGATGAGTCGCTTGCATGTCTTCGGTGTTGCGAACGATGAGACGGGGACCGACTCTCACTGGAACTTCGGTAAGATGATGATAAGGTCGAGGATTCAGTGGAATACCGACGCCTATGTCGTCTGCGATGCTGTCGTCGGTTTCCGGAGTAATGTCGCGACCTTGAACGAGTGCGACGGGACCTACGATGTCTCCTTCGGTTATGAGATTTGCGAAAAGACCTTCTGTCTGATGATCTGGATCGCCTCCTTCCAGATTTTGAACACGTGTGTGTTCGATGTCTAGAGCGATGACCAACACGAGATTCAGTAAGAGAAGTTTGAGTGAAGCAGGTTTCCCCTGGGTTTTCCTGTGTATCTTTAAGGTTGGGATTCGTCTTTAAGTCGGCGTCCTTGGCAGATTCTTCAGCCGCAATCGTTGTTTGTTTGTGAGGAGAAGAGGTTGTTGAAGATACAGAAGGTTCCTGCATAATTCGGTACAAATACGTCGTTCCCCAATTAAGTACTTTGAAAACATGAAGTTAAGTTAAACATCACAATACGAAAAATTTTCAAAAATTTGGTGCAACGCTCTGCATAAACCTGTGGAGCTAGTACAAACAATATGACCAGAGAGCAGTACACCAACCCTCAGCGAGATAGCCTAATGAAAACAGGTCGTTGGCCAAATAGCCCGCGGACTAAAACAAAAGCCTCGAGATCATAAATAGAAAAGGCGACTTGCAACAGATTTGTAACAACAGCGATGATTGCACAGTTATATCCTGCAGTCATGCATTTAAACTAGGCCAATGCTGTCTTTTTTTGTTTACTTTTGAATACTAAAGTGTTATTCAGAAAAGTGGTGCTCCTCATTTACTTGAGCAAATAAGCAACGCTTCCCAGCAACAAAGCCAATTTTGCCAAAGAGTTTTATCTTGATTCTTACAACAAATATAAGCACAAATTTCGAGACGTTATTATCGATTCTATCAAAAATTACCGAATTTTGGAGAACAATACCTTTCTCAAGTCTGCCAAAATACAGCACAAGCAAATATTTTAATCTCGTTTAATTCCAGACACTAAAGCGAGGCGAAAACAGCTCCTATAATAAAAATGACATCCTCTAGATTTATCCATGCAGCTCCGTCACGTGTAGTGACTCAATAACCATGGAAAATGTGAGCACTTTCTTTAAAAAAAAGGTCTTCAAATCACTTGTGCAACACTCTCAGCTTGGAGATCCTGGGGAAGATTCTACAAATCGACAACACGGATGCAAATTCCGTGGTATCTTAAAATCCGCTTTCCGCCCTCGAGTTCTGCATTCGCATAAAAAGCTAACTTTTTTAGATTTCACTAGTTTTTTTTTGCTAAACAGTATTGGTTAGACTACTTGCAGTATTCGCCGTGATTATTTTATTCTAAATCGAGTATGATTCACATTTCTGGTTTATTACCTTCTTTCTACTATGCTGTAGATTCAGTACCTTCCTAGCCTTTCTTTGGATTCAGACCCATGGATCCAGAAGGTTAAGCAGAGGAAGGCACTTTGTTTTTCAGCAATATGGAGAATGTTCAGATTTTATCAAAGTCTACGAGAGATCGGACTTAGTTTTCTCCTTGGGGATCAGTGACGTCCCTAGAGCCACAAGGCTGGTGCAACGCGGCCGCTAGCTACCTGGAAATTGTACTCAAACAAACACTTGTTACAATAATGGGCATGGCAATAACATGATACTATTTCACCTACAAATTTTAAATGGTGGATGTCGCCACTTTGTACATTCTTGATTTGCGCATTACGTAAGGCACGATTATGCAAATTGGGTGTGCATAAATGCCCTGACTCCCGCCTAAATTGCCTCCAAGGTTCATATCACTAAAGCGCTGGTGACATATCATCTCACGGCCTTATAATCACTTCACACAGAGAAGAAAGAAGAGATGTGAGTAATTTATTACTAGAAAAGCGTCAGTCTTTACCGTTTACGGCAACACATCCGCATTGATTGGAGAAGCTGCAATAGGCGCTGGCTTTGGGGTGTTTGGCGCATAATGACGCAGAGATTGTTCCACCTCCAACCAATCAACGGAGCGAGTCACAACATCGACATCGTGTAAATATATACCAACTGTGTTGCTCTTTTCGCTACAAAACTATAGCCATGCTAATGAGAAAAACTCAGAATCGTAAGCTAAATACTGTTAATTCTCTAATTGCATGCATTTCTACCATGGCAGCAGTCTGTGTAATAGCCGAATATCATTGAAGTGCTTTTCTGCGACCCGTAGATTATTGTACACAAAATTCGTTGAAAGCTGATTCATTCAGCACTTTAGTCTGCTTGCTTGTTTACTTTGCGTTTTTACATATAAAAATAGTGCTTCTCAAAATCCCCTCTTCATTTATATTAATAAAGGTCTTTTGTTTTGGCAGCAAATACAGCTGCTACCATATTAAATCAGTATTTCATTCGAGTCTTGGGTGAATCACCTAGTCACTCCATTTTTACCATTTCTATTCACCTGTTGCTGTTTGCTTGCATGCTCACTCAATCACCCAGGTAAGACTGGTGCCAGCGATTTGTTCTCTGCTTCGTAGCTCTTTATTCGTCCTTTCCGGCCACCTTTATAGTTGCGCATAAGTTGAGTATTTAATACGTGTTAGGTAAAAAGACAGCCGTTAGCAAGTCGAGGCGATGCGGGCTGATTTTTCCCGTGGCCCGAGTTCGCCGTCTCCTGAAGAGCTCCAAACTCATTCGTTCAACACGAATTTCCGTGGCCTCTGTCGTCTATCTGACTGCCGTTCTCGAATACCTCTCGAGTAAGACTTAATGCCTATGTGATCGGAAAATTTCGGGGCCATCAACAGCTACCGCATGATCGTAATAAAAAACAATATTGCAAGTGTAAGATTCTAATTCCACACGTAAAATAACAGTATTGATGGTAATACTTCAGCTTTTCCCTCGCAAATGCTAACCTGTTTTTTGTAATTGTTTTACCGAATCTTGTTAACCTTAAGATTAATATTGTATCGATTTTGGATAATATTTAGGGATGTTTTTCGGTTGTGCCCACAATTACATTATCAGTTATACCCAGCTAATTTAAGTTTGCCTGTATCGAACATTTGCTATTTAGTTTCACAGTTGGAGTATCTGGACCCGTCTACTTAAATCCACTTTAATAAACAGAGCTGCAACCAAATGGACTGATTCATTCAATACTAATGTCCAATTTTCAATTTACCAATTATCATCCCCCTGTTTACTAGGCGAAGTTGTCGATTTGGCCGGCCGGGTCGCAAAGGAGATCAAGCGCAAGACAATATCACCCCGTTCCATTATGTTAGCGGTTCGTGCAGACGAGGAGTTACTCAAGGTATCCGGATAGTTTAATTTCATTTGAAGTTTTTGTACTGCTCCTGATCATTCTTTTGGTGAGTTTTTTACAGGTGTTGTCGGGAGTAATCTTCCCATTCAGTGGGACTACACCCTACATTTATCCCTCTTTGCTTCCTCAAAAGTCACCAAGGCAGCCATCCACTCCCCGAGCTACTAGCACAGTTAAGGTATCTCCTTCCTCTTTAGAATCTACTCCTCCTAAGTAACCACTTTTTAAAGGTAAATCATGCAGAAAAATTTCTGACACGATGCAAGAACCGTTTTATGCTTATTGGTAGCAAATAAGCCTTGAGGGCGCCAGGCAAACAGCTCCGATTTGGAGGGTTTCTTCTGCTGATTCCCAAAGGCTTGATTTGTCTTGGTTATATGAAGCATATGACTGAATTTTGTCGGCCGGCTTGCTTCTACTGCCTTATCTCACTTGCTACAGGCAGCACTTATCGCGCCACGAATTTGTTATTTCAACAACTTCTTGATATGACATGACTGGCCTAGAGATATTTTCTCGCCTGACACTTCCCTACTGGATCCGTGGGCCGAGATGCATTGTGCCTATTCTGCTTCTCTATCTTGCCTAGCTTTTTGACGCTCCGGCATTTTTTTGAATGATTTTAGCCCACATTTGTCCGCCTTGTCCCCAACTCGAGTTTCTAACTCATACTACCTCTGTGACTTCTGACTAATCTATATTAGAGTGTCGACATCGTAAAACTAAGAAGGGCTGAACTGAAATTGTAGAAAGAAAGTTCGGCACAGCTCAAGACAGAGAATGGGTGGGCGTTTGATATTTAAGGGTCTTATGTTTTTCCCCTATAGGTTGTAATAAGTGTGCAAACTTTCCTATTCTTTCTTCAAGGGAAAAGTTCTACACAGCATCAAACTACCCCTAGGCCAGACTCTACAGATAATTCAGACAGATATTGCAGGACTGAATGTGGATGCAATCGTCAATCCGACCGACAGCGCACTTTCCATGGGCGGCATGGTGGGATCTCGACTACTGGCTGTGGGAGGAGCCGCCTTTGCCAAAGTTATGGACGATGCCCGCAGTAATATCACCAATTTGCAGAAGAACAATGGTAATTTGTTGAACCTAGTGGTCACCTCAATCATTTCATCATAGTTCAATCTGTCCTTATGTACACAATGTCAAAGTTTTAACTGACACAATATGGCAGTGGTTTTGGGGTTGTGAATAACTTGAATGCCGGAGTTCCAACTATTGAACAGCATCCGTTCTGCCATTGGTGGACCATCTTACAGGAAAACTGAGACAAGTCACATTAACTACCTTTATCCAAGTTTTGGAAATCCGTGAACCAGTAGCCTCAGTTGGAGTTATTTCCTTTTCAGCTTTTGTGACGAAAGGCACCGGAATCAAAGCAAGTAATGTGATCCACGTAAACGGTCCCGTGTGGAACTCCGCCCGCTCTGCCGACTGCATCAGTGATCTGAGAAAGACCATACAGAATTGTCTCACCACCGCCGGGAAGGCCAATTTCGAGTCGATTGCTCTACCCTCCATAGGTAGTGGAAGGTGAGACCAGTCATTTATACTCTCGACTCTCCCTTCCTGCCCACCACTGGTATGACTTCCCCTTCCTCCTTTAAGAGCCAATTTCCCCAAGAGTCTGGCAGCTGAGACCATTGTGAGTGCGATTAAGACCTACCTCGACCAGGGCAAGACGTCACTAACTGATGTGCGTTTCGTGCTCTTTGACCAGGCCTCCATTGACGCCTACATTTATGAGCTAAATCGTACGACCTGATCTTCCAGGGTACTTCTTTCCTTTCCGTCATTTGACCTACTTTGATCTTGAATTGCTACTAGTGAAAAGTTGTGCTGTGCCAGTGGAACTTTGTGAGACAAAGACTTCCGTAAATTCCATTCAACTTAACTGTTCTCTATTTTTGATGGCTGAGTTGATGTGCCACCACTTCTTAATTTGTGAGTGGCAGGCAGTTACTTCACTAGGGTGGCTTTGTAAAGTAATGGATACCAACCATGGGACGGAGTTATGGATGATAATGGATAGTACGTATGGTCAGTGAATAACGGTATGTTGACAGGTTGCCAGGCGCTTTTGAAATCAGACACGAAACATTCATGCGACAACAAAACTAAGGTCAAGACGGCTAAGAATTGTAGTGAGTCACGTTTACGGAGCAAGTTGGAGCCAGTTGCGTCTGAAGGGTCCTGCAAAGGTTTACGCGTAGTTTTGCAAGAGGTGTATCTGAACATCAGGATATTCACATCAAAGCGAAGTGATTAACCGCCGGGAAGCTGGAAAAATTAAGCTAGGGAGCCTCGCCACCCTACACGAAGCCGCCTCTGCCGTACAATTAAGTGTTCCGGGCAAAATTTGGAAGAATGCTGACTGTTAAATGAAAGACCCCTCGATCCGCCTTCCTTTAAACCTTTGTACAACCACCAGCCCAGCGGCTAATTGTATATTCCAGTTTGTGAAGTGGGGAGGCACTCATTGTACCAAAAGTACCTTCAATTCAGCAGCAACTGGCAAGATCGAATAAGCGAAGCACATGCGGCGACACGAAGCAAGCAAGCCAGTCAGCCAAGATTGTCGCATCCCACTCTGGATTCTACCCTCCAGCGTACACGAAACCCCGGCACCACTTTTCGTTTGTGGCAGCTGCATAGGAGAGGAGAACGCAATTATTAGCCTGTTTCAGAGCCCTTCCACCTCAGTCATCGCGTCCTCGAACGCAAAATACGGATTGACGCAGCCAATCGCAGCGCCGCCGTTCAAGACGGTACCAACGCGCCCGCCGACACTGGGTCAAGCTAAGGCAAAATCAGTAGCCTCTAGGGTACCATCACCGGTCACCCCAGTGTGATACACTTTTGTCAAAACACAAGACTGCTGAGTGAAGGCATCACGGCCAACCCTCACCTCCACCGTTTCATACAATTAAGCTCTGTTGGCAGTTCAATATTTTTGTCAAGTGACTGCCCATGCATATCAGTGAAGCTCGGCAAAACCGCAAAAAAACCAGAAAAAAAAGACGCTCTCTACAGCGCAAACGCCCAACCTAACAATCAGATGACAAAATGCCACGGCAATCCGAGGGGCAAATCTAAACCAAGACACTTTCAGCACCCTCCGGATCTCCAAGAGAACAGACCACTAGTGGCTCATAGGGGTTTGCACCCATCCATCCGAATAACAATGGAGCCCACAAATATCGCAATCCCACCCGGTGCGCCACACTTTACCACCCCAAATCAAGAACCCTCCCGACGCACCAACGCACTGAAGCATCAGCGCTGAACATTGACACCCTCACCCACTTTGGTGACTACAACCTGTGCAATCGCTCTCCCCAGTAGCTGTCGAGTGCGAGGCGCTCGCCACAACACGCGCATACGCAGAGGGCGAGAAGAGAGCTACCGGCACCACAAACTGGAACTGCCCAGGCAAGCCATGTGAACAACACTGGAGAACCCTCACTTCAAGCATCACGACCGCATACCCGAGACTTGCAAGCGGATCCACGGCTAGAGCTCTGGATGAGGTCGCCTACCTCGAACGCCAGCACGCAATACGAACGCGGCGCAACCAACCCTAGAAATATCATCCACACAACCACCCGCCATGCCTTGAGGGGTAATTGGAGGCGCAGAGAAATCAAACTGGCAGACGTGAGAGGATAGCATCATTTGCTTGCAGAGTTATCCAATAGTCTTAACAGATCAAGTACTACCTATGGACAAAAAACGTGTGCGTAGGCACAAAACACAAAAGGAGGGAGAGCCTATCATGAGACGGACTTCGAACTCAGACAAGGTTGGAAACTGCCACAAAGCACTCGAGCATGCGAGCGCAGCAAAACTACTAGAATTGGCAATTAGCATGAACACCGTAGCACTCCCGTGAAGACAAACCATCACCGATTGCAACTCAGGAATTAGCTTACGTTAGCCGAGTGATCGGAAAGCAATGAAAAAGTCAACTTAACGGATTACAATTTATTGTAAAATGACCTTTCGTTGGGCAAACGATATATTTGACATACCTTGTCTGCGTCTTAGCACTGATCACAGATCCGAAACAACGCTGTTTTACATCTGAATCTCACATATTACATGGACTTACGTTCTTGCCGAGGAGAACGAACTCACTTTGACTATTCCTGCCAAAAAAGTTAGTCCACTAACCTTATACACGAAGCAGGCCATGTGGGTTCAACAAAGCGATAATGTGAAGGCAAATACCAAATTACGCACTACTTAGGCGGACCTACATGTCACAATTGTTGACATACCGGTAACCCCGGGCATATCTGGAGGCTTGGGCACTCCTTCATCATAAAAGAGAAAGAAAGCAACATTTAAAACTGCGTACGTTATAATAAACGCAGGGCTATACAAATATCTCATTGGGTATTGTCGGCAGACAAAAATTAAGGGTGGTATTAATACGACCCACTGACTTGCGTTAGAACCGAACGTTCGGAAGCCCCATCCAAGTTGGCGGCACCTGCCCCATGGGCTGCGGGTAGCCAGGCACCCCATACACTAGAAACAAAGCTCGTAAATAACAATTTCGGCCTACTTGGCTGCTGCATAGGCATCAAGGGCACTCCAGTCGTACTGACAGGAGTACCACGAGGCAGCGGGACGTAAGGAGAAAGCATGCCCGGCGTTGTAGTTGGCAATATCGGCGCCGGAATAGCTGTAAGTGGTGGTGGTGGTGGCGGAGGTTGCAACGCCCGTTTAAGCATCTCTTGATACTTCGGCTTAGCAGCCATTAACTCCTCCTGAATAATAGCCAATCACTTAAAGAACCACAAGTACCAAAGACAAATCCTCCTCCGGATAAATGAGCTCGACCGCTACTCCATTCAGGCCAGAAACGGGCCGAATAATTTTAGAAGCGGAGGCTTTCGCAATCTCGGCCTCTGAATAAGCAGGGAAGGTTGGTTTTGGTGACGACACATCGGTCGCCGTTGATAATGCTTCCGATGTCGGTGGGGGCGGCGGTGGTGGTGGAGGAGGCGGAGGAGGAGTAGGAACAACTCCAGGAAGAAACGGTTGTACCCTAAATGGAGGTATTTTCTTCAATTGAGTCACCTACCCCCCAGGAACAACCGGCATGTACGGCATCACGGTCGGCACCGGAGGCATAAATGGGAAAGGGGGAAGTGGAGGAACAAAAGAAGAGCTAGCTGTATCATCCACACGTTCAACCTTTTCCGGGGGCTCATCGTCACCTTCCTGACCAAGCTTCTGCCTTTCGTGCTCAAGAAGATCGGCCTCTGGTATTCCGGACATGCCATAAATGTCAATCACCGTGCTAGCTCTATGAGCCAATGCATTTGGAATCTTATCCAGCTTCTCCTTGTGAACCTAAAACACTTATTTAAAAGGAGGGCACATACGGCGTTACAGTGAATAGAAAGACCAGGACCAGTAAAGAGCTTTCTGTGACAAAAAGGACACTTAAAATGCTTCGCCTTCTGATGATGGATTAGTATCTTCTCATCCTCAAAATCCCTATTACAATACCTACAAAATAACAAACAGAATGGGAAGTCACCAGCACCAAGGCTTGATCTGCTTCCTCTTCTTGCGTCCCATTTCGAAACCAGACAGGAACGATGGCGTCAACAAGCAAAAGGTGTTTGCCGACTTAAACAAGTTGTTTAAGATAAGCCTCCACCTTGTAATATAACTTCGCTTCCAAATTGTTTCAAAGTCGTCTAAATCGGTAAAACAAAACGTAATGTGCTTTATGTGGTATTGTCCCAACAAAGTAGACCCTAAACTGTACTATTGTGCGTCATCTGCCTAACTGATAACCACCTTCTTAAAGCTAAAAATCAAATTTGTAAAATATTCAAAAACATACAAACGCAAATAGTGAGCAACATTACGACTAAATTGACTTTTTTATTAGGACGCCATCAGGGATTTCTATTTATGTCAAACTAAATAAAGTTGCAGCTTGAGCTTATCGTATCATTTGTTAAAATAATACTTGGGACAGTTGTTAAGAGGTTGTCAGCACTTTCCCTAATGTAAACCGAAGGTGTCTGGCAAATCCAAATATAGGTCGCTAGAAATGTATGGAACTCATAGGGAGATAATGGTTAATTACTTGACAAACTGTTTGCCACATTTGTGACGGGCAGATAGCTAGTGCTCTCCTTCTAATATTAGGAATAAACGTTTTCCATAACTGCTTTGCACACTGCAAATGTACAGGTGACTCAATGCACTTCAGCTATGGCCTTTTAAAAATCTTGGGTTACTGTTTGAAATTCAACCACTATGGTGTTAAAATACAAAGGTATAAAATTCAACATGTTTTTAAAGTCCCGAGACTCCTTGAAGACGAAGGAAGACACAATACTCGGGTAGAATATATATTTAGCACGGAGAAGGTGTCTGGGCTATTGGCATAGCCCAAAAGGCCAGCCCACCCAACGAGGTACAAGGAGGCTAATTCGAAGTACAAAAGTGGCGCCTCACCAGAACTGAGGGATACACCACTATCGTATTACATGTTTTGTGCTGCTCACTATTTAACACAGACGATAGGCACCAATCGTTAGGCATCAAAGTGGCGCCACACCGCCTCTGCACGCAAAGAATGGGGTTAATTTGGCATGACAATGTTCGAAGTTGGGTAATCTTAAGTAGAATATCAAAAAAGTTATTAAGTAATGTTTGAAATCCAGTATGGGTATGCGATCTCATCAAAAATAAATGAAAAATAACAAAGGTATCCTGTAGTGCTACTTTGCAGGATCGTATGAAAAGAGTGTCAAAAGCAAAATCTGGCTGTACTTTGAGCCTTCTGGTGTATTGTACAGATTTTGTAATGTATGGAGCACGAAAGGACTATTTGGTTCCCTACAACTCCGCAGTAAAAAATTTTGCATTTTTTCATTGTAAATAGTACTTAGCAGATTAACATGACTTCTGTAGTAAAAATTATTATATCCCGTTGTTGCGTACTGCCTTTATAGTTTATTTTTGCTGCTTCTTTAACAATTTAGGGTTGTTTGCTATTTGAGTCATTTACTTTTGTTATACTAGTACAAAAAATAACAGAACGTTGGTGTCGCAAAGTGTGTTTACATTTATAAAATATCTCGTTGATCCATTGGCTGTGACCTAAGCGCTGTTTTGAGTCGGGCAGATCTCCCACAGGGCGTGCTAGTAGGGGCACTTTATAATACCGGAAAATATGATCTCATTTTCATGATCCAGGCAACTTATTTTCTGGTTGATTAATTTTTTAACTCTCGGCAGTGCAATACGGAAATCAGTGGAACTTGCAATTTGCCATTTTAACATATTTCTCTTACTTGCATTGGTTTTTGACTCCTTTTACTCCTTTTAATTGAGAAGGATTTGCTCCACATTTTAATTATTTTTTTATCTTTGTAATATGTAGCAGGTTCTTTTCAAAATTCCCTTTTATCTCAAGTTGGTTTGCACCGAAGCATGAAGTCACTTCAATAATTTACTAAAACTACCTTCCTATATCAATATTTTTAGATGCGCAATCCTAAATCATGAAAAAGTTTATTAATAGTCAATCAAGTGATACTGATTCTGGACGCTTTTCGGGAGGCGCAACGTCCTCGGACTCTTCTTTTCGCGTACAAGATGTCAATAGTACTTTGCTTATCAAGATATTAATAACTCCCTTATCAAAACAAGTTTACGCATTCGTCTCATCGAAAGCTTTGGTAAACCATGTCAAACAGAAACTACTTGGAGAGTTCGGATCTCAGATTACTGATAGCATAAATTGTGGTCTTTTTGTCCCTCCTTCCAATGGAAGAAATGGGAAATTTCTCGAAGAGGACCGCCCGATTTCTGCTTACATTACTGATGATTTAAGCTCAAATCTAGAGGTAATTTGCTCTTTACTTTATATTTGATTCGATTCTAGTTTACTCGAAAGAGGCGACTTTGTCCCCCATCACACATAAGCCTGCCAACAGATGATAAAAACAAAAATCTCCCGCAATCTTTTCTTCGTGCTGTCGCCCGAGACGATGTCAAAAAAGTGGAAAAATATCTTTCGAAGGGATTCGACCCCAACTTTATTTGTCCAAGAACAGAAGGTAAGGAAGCAATTTTCAGTGTTTAGTAATTCTCAAGAATCACCTTTATCTGTGGCCGTCGCTAGACCAAGGCCTTTAGAGATGATCAAAGCTTTAATCTCAGGCGGAGCGCATAAAGACTTTCGGACTAGAAATGGACTGACTCCGTTGCATAAAGCTGCCTCCATAGGCAATTTCGAAGCAGTTAAGGCTCTGCTTGATTTCGGACAATCTCCCAATACTTTGGACGCCAATGGCTTGACCCCACTCTATCACAATATTCTCGGTGATGTTGATACAAGAATTTGCCACAGACTGCTGTATGAGTATGCCCAGATTGAGATATACGACGCTGACGGTAAGCAGGAGATCCACCAGGTAGGTTTTCTTGAAGAGTAGTTTGTTGATAGCCATAAGTGTGACGTATGAAAATTATCTATCTCCTTCTTCTCATAGGCTGCTCTACTAGGCCGTACCGATCAAATCAACCTGCTAATAATGTACGGTGCAGACGTTAATGCTAGATCCCTTCCACGTCCACCACTAGATCCTCCGGGTCTTCCAGCCCTTCCCACCCGGTCAGCAACCAAGTCTAGTCAGCAGGGAGGTCAGTCTAACCGGGGACAGCCGCAGTTGCACCGGATAATTGGATGCGGAGGAGAGACACCGTTGCACTACGCAGCCATGACCGGACAGTGTGCAACGGCCAGACGTCTGCTCTACTGGGGTGCCGATCCAGCCCTCACCAACGATGATGGACACACACCCTTCCAGGAAGCTCAGCTTCGTGGTAATCACGAAGTCGCCGAAATTATAAGCAGTTTTCGTGTAGGTGCTGGTGCCAATGTGAGAGGAATCGGAGGCTCAGAGGGCAGCATTTGTACGTTTCTTTCAGTTTATAAAAAATTTTGCATTTATACCATTAGGGTGCATTTTTCCAGTATAAGTGACGCAGCGAAAACTGAGATTTATAAGAGCATTCTGTAGCACAGGCCCCATCACCGCCCCAGATATATAAGAGTTTTTTAATGCCAAACTTGCCACCTAGTTAAAGCATGCCTACTTAAATGCATGCTACTCGTTAAGCAGTTGTGTAGGTCTTTGTCGAAGCTCCTTTTGTTCACTCAAAGACGTGCTATTCAAGATGTTGGATTTGACCATGCAGCAACATGCGTTATGTTAATATCTTGACACAGACTGAATGAAAACAGTTTCCCGAAATATTATAATGGCACTGATTTAAGTTCTATGCAGTAATACAGCCTTCTGTTGTCTTTGCGAAAATGGATTCATGATTCTAAGAAAAATCCAGGAATTTCACAAAAAGGAAACATTAATTGATGGTTAAGTTGGTAGAAGCAGAAGTATATGCATGGACAAAAAACCCTTTGATCAGACTCCTGTAATTGATTAATTAATTCAGTGCCAGTCCTTTTTACACAAAGGCTTCAACAAGAATGTATACATTCCAAATGAAATTGCTCTACGAGATACCGTATAGCGTAGATTCATCAACTTGATCAAAATTCCAAACATTAAATCTCCATACAGATCTCTCACCCAAGAGACTAAAATATTGTCTGTGCCGCTCCGTTTGGTGGCTAAGTGAAAGGTGAATAACGGTAGCATCATGCACGTCTCCAGGCACGCACACACGAACATTACTTCTCGAACGTCAACTTTGCGTAACATCGATGCGAAATGCGTTAGAACAGGTTTCAAGTCATCACACGTTCAAAAAGTGTGAATACTCGGTCTCTTTTGCATAGGTGGCCCTTTCCTTCCAGCTCCAACCTATAACCAGAAACGCAAACCAATGACTGCACCTCTGCAGGCGTCACCATTGGACCATTACGTGACCTTGACTGTGTTGGGAGCTGAACGCAAGGGTCCCTCACGGAGTGTCACGATACCCTTCCCTGTTAGTCCCTCTCGACATCAGGCCTCTTTAGTAGTCACCGATGGCTACCGCTCTCATCAAAATCTTCCTGCCTCCCCATCACCATCCCCTTCACCTCTGTGTCTTCTCAGAGGTCGAGCATGTTCTGAAAGCGATCTTATGCGCTTTCTGGAGGAGGAAGAGAAGAATAGTGACGGAAAAAAAGATGCGGAGGATGCAGTAAGGACTCGTGTCGTTCAGTCATCTCGAGAAAGGTCCAATCCTCGTCGTATTCGACGTCAGAAGATCGTCCGTGGATTAACTGAGGTTGTGAACACAACAGGTAGGTCAGATTTTTTTAGAGTTCAAATTTAAAATGAATATGTGATTGTTATTTTTCATGGGTAATTAGGTCTACAATTACCAGTGTCATTGCCCCTTCTGTAACCAAATTTTTCATTCCCCCAGTTTTGTGTAGTGTTCTAGCAGTGTGATGGATCAATTTTCGAGTTTCATTTCCCCGAAAAAAAGCGTCACTTCGCATAATTAATGGAAGTTGTAGAAACCATGGGAATTTTCACGTGATTGGTAGTTGCAGTTGTATAATTTTACTTTCAAAACATCATAAAGCACATGCAAGGCTATGAGCAATTCTTTTGCCGGTGTTTTCCTCTTAGTTCTAGCGATGATGCGAATAATGGATGAGATCAATTAGCAGGAATTTATTTTTCACTGAATTCACCGACTATCCCATTCGCTCTGCTAGTCTTGCCCTTCTTTTTAGGTCGCTTTCAACCTGAGCACTTAGAATTGGGTGTACCGGGTCATGCAAATTGGCACTCAATTTAACTTATGCAGATAGAGACAGTGTAAGGGGAAGTTCACTTTTTCCAGCTCATTAACACCAGACGTTTTCGCATTAATAGTAAAATGCGAATATGGCTTATTACCCTAGGAGAACTTTTGGCCATTTTCCGCAGTTTTGGAGCCACAGTGGAGCCCCCAATTCCCAGATCTGAAACGATCGCAACAAGAGGTTTTTTCCAAATCCTGAAAATAAGGGCCTGAAATTTGGATAACCTGAATTTCAAAGCTTGTTTTCTATCGCTGTTTACTGCTCCACCAAATCTTCAAAAGCATTTTCCCAGTTCAAGATCCAACATAGTGGGCTTTTGATGAACTGGTTACGTTGGAACTTCATTATGTAATCTCCTGGAACACAGAGGCCACTCCAGGCTCTGTAGCTCTAGAGTTATTTCTAAAGACGTTCTGACACAAAAATACCAGAAGACTGCAGCTATGGGCATCATGACCAGAGCCATAAGGCGATAGTCTAAGTGCCCTCTTATCCTCCTGTACGATTACAACAAATACCAATAGGACGTGATATGGTCATATCCACGGGTTGTGGGAGGAAAATTTACTCCCTAATCCTGAACATGTTGCTATTTGAATCCGACACTACTCTTTTTTACCTGCTTTCCAATCTGTCATTGCCTCTCCTCATATGCATCGCATGTGTGGACTCAGGTAAGAGGATGGTGTCGCTGCATACGTGTGGATGTGGCTTAGCGGCTAATGGATATGCCCTGGTGAGATATTTCTGCATCCTTATCTGTTTTCAAGCGTTTATAATGGACTATGCGGAAAGGTTTAAGAGACCTTCACTGAGTGAATTATTTGCGGTCATCTCTTTCTTCCCCACACCCTGGGCGGAAGATACAGGTTTGCGGGGAGTGTTTTCCGCTTGCTGCTGCATGTGAGCAGCGCATGTAGTTTCCTCTTAGGAGAGGCTTGTGTATACTTAAACAAACCGTGAGTATTTATTGTGTGTTCTAGCTTCTGTAAATTGCTTCAAAGCATGTGAAAATAAGTGCTCGTGTTTAGTAATTGCGGGGGTTAGTTTTTTTCAGTGGATGGTAGGAAAGCATTATTAGCCATTGCTAATTAACATTCTTCACGACCCCGTGTTTGTGCTATCATTTGGTGAAAACGTCAGAAATAAACTGAGTGTGACCAGCTGTTTCATCACTTTTGAAATTGCATTGCCCTCGCCATTATCGGACAGGAGTGCTTTTGGGATTCTGGTGGTAAATAAAGCCCGATGAATGTAGGTTCTGACTTGCAAACGGACAAGTATGCCCTATAGTCTTGTCCAAACATGTCTACTCCAGGCTGCTCCCCTAAACTGTTCATTATGCTACTTGAGGCTTAGTTATAGCCATTTTTTAAGATTTATTTCCTTTTTTTCCTTATTCTCTGTTAGCACACCACAATCGGTGTTGACTTTAACAGTCGCTCAGGTAAGGATACACACAGAAAAAAGGAGGTCAGATAAGATAGGTTCTTCTCTAACTACTGCTGAAATCAGCTTAATTTTCTGGGTTGTGAAATTGGAACCAGGTACTCAACAAACTAGCAAATATTTTTGTTTCAGTAAAGTGTTTATTAAATGACAAGTACTATCTATTCCATCTTCTCCTTCAACGACAGCTGATTGACCTATGGAAAACGATGAATACAGAAAAAAGCTTAGAAGGAATTTTATATGCTGCCGGGTTTAATTTGATATACAGTTTAATGTCTGCAAAATGCGACAGTTGGATTTTGAAGGGTCCAGTAAATGCCATTTATAGCTGAAAAAGAATGTTTAAATCTGGCATTTTCTTGCATCTTATCTTATTTTAACCACTGTGCTGAGTGGGCGTGAATGGTTGATAAGATTTTCTCTTCAGACACTCATTAATTCATTTGGTGAAATGAAGCCAATTTCTTCACTGATTCGTTGCAAATATTACTTACGCCAAGTTTGAAGTACCATTTTTAACCCTATGTCCTCCTTACTTAACTATGTCTCAACTCGGATCTTCTACACTCTCTGGGTCAGTATGAAGAATACGGTCTGCTACTAAAACGAAACTACTCGATTTCATGCATTGTTAGCCATGCGAAAGATCATGATCTCGAGCTTAAGTGTTTATTTGTGGCATGGAAAATACCTATTGCATGGTCCAAAGAAATCGCTAGAGATGCTAGCCTTCTGGTTTGCTGCTTGAAAAAATCGTACACTTTGCACCTCACGAAATATCAACTGGCAATTAAAATAATTCAAGGGGCTCCAAAAGTACCTGAAATTAAATATCTTAAAATTCAAACGTTTGAAATTAGCTCAGAATGTTCCATATTTGGATGACCAAGTGGTAAACGCAATGAGCAAATCAGGAGCAGGTTTTCCCTAACTAAATCCCCCCGCAGTGCCGTAAAAAAGACATATAGGTTAAGCGGCACAAAAATTTGTGAAATTATTGTTTCAACTCGCCTGACTGCTAAAAGATACACCTGTGAATTCGCAAACGCTCTGTCGTGCTAGGAAGGAAGGAAACTCAAGTCTGTACGCTTTATAACAATTGATTTTTCAGTAGGTGTACACATGATGCACTAAAGTGATTCGTCTCTTTGGGGATATTCCCTCCTCCTTTTGTAAGTAGTAAAAAAATTTGCGTATTTCATTTACTAAAAATTGTTCGGGTTTGCTCACCTTGTGAACTTTTTTTGAGTTCTACAAGGGGAAAAGCATTTGGTGCAGTGATTTTTGGAGTTACATTTGGCATCGAGTTGCATTTTGCCAGTAACTGATTTATCCGTGTTTCTGGAAACGGTTTTAAGGCTTATTACAAAATAAATGGTTTGATTGAAAATTTGTTGATGAGATCACTTTATAATAAAATAAATATAAAGAAGTGTGATTTATAAATTTTGCAGATCAAGGAGCTAGAAATTTCACACCCAATAAAGTAGCCTTAACGCTACCACTTTAACACGATTTATTGAAAGACTCTACTCAGTGAATAAAGAGTAAACTTTTTCTCCGTGCTTGCCCAGACCATCCTACGAGCCCGAATCACGACTGCCGGCGCCTAAGGAGTTGGAAGTCGTCCCACACTCTCAACGAGGACTCGAATCTGGAGGACGACGAGGTGGCTGACTTGATGCCAATCAAGCTTCAGAGTCGTCCCAAGTTACGAATGGCGAGTCCTCAACTCGGCGTGGTGGATACAAAGGCTCTCAGTCAATTTAGAACGGCACCGACATCAAACCTCTCGCCCGAACGACCCTGGTCTTCACAAGACACTGCCACAGCTGCACATTTAGCCAGAAGAGAGTTAGTTTGCTTGTCATGATGCAAATAACCTATTAGCCTCTTTACTTCGTTGTCTACTTACGGACTGAAGGCAAATGGCTGTAATACATTTTTCCTACCCTCACCGGTACGTTTTAAAAGCTGTAACTTGAGCTTCAAAGATTGGTAATCCCAACGACCGAAACAAACTGAACCTTATAAATAGACAAAGGTAATTACGTAGTATTCTTTACCCCTTTATGCCGACCAAACGACTGAAGTTAAGAAACCGATTGCAGTACCTCTGAAAATGGACCATTTCTCTATTATTTGTGTGGCAGGAATACGAGAGTGGTTTAAAATTGTCAGTTCAATTTAACTAACACCATTCTTCATTATAGTGGTTATAGAGAACCGTTATGAGTGCTAGCAGCCACCTATGGTTTCATTGCTTCATGTTAAGAATTTTGTAATATGGTGCCAACTTGCAACACTGATAGAAAATTTTTGTTTGACAAGTAGATACCTATTTGATGTTGAGTTTATTTCATAAATTACATGGCAGTCCTTTGCACAAAGCCCCTTTGAAGTGTCCCGAAACCAGGCAAAGGGTAATTCCGCCACCCTCACCCACAGTCCCTGCAACCTCTTCAAACGCTTTTCCCCATCGATTCTACTATTCTTTTGCCGCTTCTCATTGTGAATTTAAATTGACATAGGTAGGCCTCTGCGTCCTCTGCCTTATAGCCGAAACCACTAGTGAGAACCTTGCCCCAACGCTCAGTAAGCATACCCATAAAATGACTTATGAACCACTGCTAGCCCCTTTGATGTGATGCGTAAACCTAGCAACCAACCTTGATACAAGGTGAAATAGCACACGTCTTGACATGTTCAGCCGCCACTCCTCCCTGCTTTTGTCATTTAAAACTTCCCATAAGCCTCTCATTATTGGCCTTGATTCACGATAAAAATCACATTTTCAAAAGCACTTCTTTCAGGAGCTACATTTAAAGGCATCTTATTTGGTATCTTACCTTAAAAGGCATGTGTTGCAAAATACAACACTGAAATGGAGTTGCAAATAAACGGTTTTTACCCTTCTATGCTTGACTCTGGTTGAATTACGATGACCACTGCTCAGACTTGACACTTGTCACCTGAGAAAATGAGTATTACGCTAAACAGTCGTAGCAAACTGCATTAAAGGAGTGACTTCAGGAGCGTGGGCGTGGCACTTTAACCTTTGGTGACATCAGAACTTCAGCCCCGCATTTTTATTCTCTTCTTTTATTTCATAAAAACACTAGCCTACACATAATCTGGAAGTCGCACTGCGGATGTAAAGCCTACTTCGTCGTTATTGTATGGAAGTAGAATACTTTTGACGTGACATTATTTTCTTTGACTTGTGTTTAAATGGCACCTCATAAATAGTGTTGCAATATATCATTAAATTCGCCTAGGTTGCAACGCGCTCTAGACTAGACGAAGGAGGGGCATAATTCTTGTATACTCATGCGAAGACTTTGCAAGCTGTCAAAAGGGTCCCCCAGTCAAGTATTGTCTTGATTCACAAAGAAAACTATATCAACTAGTTACCATACCGTTCCCCTAAGTGCTAACTCCGGTTCACAAGATGAATGTATGGAATAAAAGTTCAATGCTGTTTGACTTCTAGCATTTGAGCAGCAAACTTCGAGTACGTACTTTTTCCTCGTCTAAACAGTTGACTTTTTCTCAGCACCACGTGACAATGTAAGGTAGTGCTCATGACGGCATAACGTACCTATAGGGTAAGTGACTACACACGTAAGTGTGTACTGAATGACGCTTGCTGAAGTGGGTTTTGCATCATATTTCCTTGTTATCATTCCCCGCCCCAACATTCCTTCATGTTCTTTCTGCGTACCATTAAAAAGACTAGGACAAACGACTAACGTTTATGTGTAGAGAGTTGAATAAGAAGTTACCCGTTTGGTATGCTTTGAAATTATCGAATGGAACACCCACTCCCACACGGTCACAGCTGAGTCAGAGAATTCGGGATGATGAATACGAAATCCAGTAAGCAGTTACTCAACAAAGCGACAGTACTTGAAGGTCGATTAGGGCTCTTTTGGTACTTTTGCTACCAAGGCTACACATGGGACGCTCCATTTTCTTTACTGAGCTCGGGGTCTCGAAATGTAGCACATAGTCTTCATCAGTTTGTGGTAGTTGAATGTATAAAATCGTCTAGTAAATAATTTGGTTAAAAGATATGTAATGTTCGTAGTCCCAGCAGCTATTGAACTGGCCAGTTCGCTAGGGAAGGTGTTGGTGGCAAGTAGGAACAAGAAAATGTCTAGACTGTGACAGTCAATTTTCCTCCCAGACCCTGGCAACAAATGAGCTAAATTTAACCAACTGTTTATGAGAAAGTTTACATAAACATCCCATGAAATAGTTAGACGACAGTTTAAGCTGCTACAGACCGTTGCTTAAACGATTCTGGATATGGATTTAGTTTCTGGTTCAAAGAATGGTACGGCACGAGACGGTAGGGAATAAAAAACAAGTTTTGATAGACCATTTGGGCGGACTCATTGTGAAGGCCTTATAATTCATTTGGAAGGCGAAAATAGACAAATTGCAATCATCCGCTGGATAATTAAACCGAAGGTTCAGGGAAATTTCATCAGTTAAGGAAAAAAATTGAATTGAGTTTTAAGTATGAACATCCATAGACTTTTTCAGCATAATCTAACTGCAAAGGTTATTCCCAAAATATTTCATAAATTGGAAGAACAAAGAGCTGAACTTCGCATCCAGTAGTGCCTCCAGTTCAATAGAAAACTCTAAGAAATAGTACTAGACACCGATGTCTAAGAATAACGGTTTTAAGTTGGTACGGGAGAGCTTAGAACAATAAACATGGTTTAACTTTACTACATTAAACGTATGAAATTAGAGTAGTTATAGAAGCCCTTCTAGGTCACTTATTTACTATTCATTTTTGCATCACAGGACAGTGCCCGTGCGACAATCGGCAACAGGTAGGGAGGGTGCCCCCATTCCAGCCAATCCCTTTGCAGTTGTAGAAAATGCCTCTTCACGTCCGGTGTCGCCTAGACAACGCGACTCGCACCATTTTCCAAGGTCACCCATCATGTCACCAGATCGGTCAGGTGCCGGTTCACCCACTTCTGTGATTACTAGACCCTCTGGTATTGAATCAAGGGTAAGAGAAGTAGGCGGAATAACTCGCACTGTGACCCTTCACAAGGCCTACTTGCCTGATGCTCCGCGCGTTCCTACCCTCGGTCTATCCCTAGGAACTGTACAGAGTAAGTTTAGTTTATCGTGCATCATTTTACGGTGAGTGGAAAACTGAGGTGTTACAGTATAGTTTATGGAACTCAAATGTGGCATACCTTAAAATCAATTGAACTAAATCATGAGCAATTTGCAATGTTTACATTCATGGAAACTTCCTGCTTTTTCCCAATAGACCTATTGGCTGTTCAACGTTTTGTACCCACTTCCACAAAACCAAGCCTCCAACAGATCAAAAATGTGAAGCCCGCAAGTCCTGCCTTCAACGCTGGTCTCCGTGCAGGCGATTATGTTCTTAAGGTAAATCTGTTTCTCATATTCTTGTTAAAATTAGTCAAGTAAGCTTTTGGAATGCAACTTACTGAAGACCGCCACTTAATCAATCCACAAGATACTTTTCACCTTGTCTATATAAACAGATGAATCGTTTTAGCTGTTAGCTATTGTTTGAACTTGCCGTGGTCCCACTACCGGCTACGATACAGAGGATAATAACAGCTATTATTCTTTTGGTGTGTGTCTGTGTGTGTACAGTCTTTCTGCTGTCATGAAATTCCGAGGTTCACTTAATCACCTGGATCGTATAGCCAATCTGAGCTACACGTGCATATGTAATTTATTTTGCCAGAGGACCGAAGTACCCACGTGGCCCTGACCTCCTAACCCTGGGTTCAAGAGTGATGGAGTTGTCAAATATAGCGTTCCACTCGGTAGAAGAGGAAGACCACATCAGGAAGCCACGAGTGAGAGGCGGTTTTAATTGTTTAGGCACAAACCCGTCATTCTGCGCGTGAATCACATACGGTGTGGGTGACACAGTAATGGCGAAAAACACGAATTTCGCAAAAAAAGGAACTCGAAGTATGGTAAAGATGCCATAAGACAGGCCTATCCACCGGTGGTGCACTAAAGTGATAGCACTTTTTCTGTCCTGACTAACAGGGGGATTTTTCCACCTGTCCCTAAGAGGTAGCGCAAGTTCGTCAGCGTTCGTTGCATAGGTAGTCAATCAAAAACAGCGGTCAAATGAAATGCTTTGGTTCATTCAAGGTGAATAATAAATCACCGCAAAGGACTGGATATTTAAGTTACATTCCCAATGGATTCAAGCCTTGAAAGAATCTTATTTCCATGACCATAAACATCAAAGATGTGTCTTCCGTTAACAGCCATAACAGTTGCTGATGCTTCCAACTATTGACAGTGCTGGATTATTAATAACTTATCCACAACTTCACGAAATTTATTCAATATGACAGGTGAGACAGTGACATACACAAAAGTTTCTTTGATTTAGTGTCAGAATGTTCTAAAACAGCCATGAGCCAAGTAACGCCCACCACAATTAGGGACAGAAGATAATCCATCATAACTGATAGTATTTAGTTCCTTGTGCTCTTGCTTCGACGGCAAGAAAATGTGAGGATAGCCAGGTGTATAAAAGCATAAATATAGGGGTATAGAGTCCTTCCCATGCGTGGCAATGCATGCAAGTGAGTAATCACGTAATTCACCACCACCGCCACCACCAATGCGTCCGTCGCTAAATACACGGTGAGGAGTAGATAGAGGTAGATTACTTTGTTGCACACGCGAGCACGCTCACATTCACACAAAAGCTTAATGAAGACCAAGTTGGTGTTTTTGACCCGCCTTTCTCTCCTAATCTCTCCGGTTGTACCCCGTGCATGCGAGAACGCGCAATCAGTTTTGGCAAGCACACTGACATTGTGAACGCGAAGCAAGCATTTCTGTGTGTCGCTAAATTCTATCAAACTCCCTAGAATAAGCACACGTGCTGATCTAGCCTGACCCACCTTGACTGTAGCAAAAGGCTCTAACACAATCGTGCCAATGTTTTAGCTGTTTTGTGGTTATTCCGACTTAAAACGACAGCTCCAACAGCGTACTGTCAGAAATGCCACCAGCTGTGCGCTATCAACGCCTATGCCTTCTTTCCTAATAACTATCCCAAGCCAGAGGGTAACACAAATGAGTAATGTAATGATTTAGCTGATTTTTTCAAACAATTTATGCAGAATAGTGAGATAACTACATACTGCACTATAATGTATGTGAAATTCCCATTTGCCATGAAAAAATGTACTCCATTACAGCACGTTAGTGGTCTGGTAAATAGCAAATTGGTTATATTCCACGAACACTGCTGGATTTTGAATCTTCAATGGTAATTGAAAAAAAAGACTTTCAATCTGTGAATGTATGTAGGCAGACATGGCATACTACGAGATACTTTTATAGTTCATCTGCTGCATAACTGTGTCTTCAATCTTGAAAGTGATCCCGCAAATGTGCACTACATCTGCACAAGACTGCTCATGTTTCTCAGGCCTAAAATCCGTACTTTTGACTTATGTGGCCTAGAATCAAAAGAAGCTGGAAAGGTAGCCACGATGGGCTTGTTTATGCATGGCCGTACCTGTTCACTTACTTATGTCTTTATGCTGTACTTCCAAATGAAATTGAAGTTGGAAGCGGTTTAATTACATGGTTTTTATATTGGGGTCTATACTGACTAAATAGTGGTTGTGCCTTATCCCACACAAGAGCGTCTCAGCAGGTTCTTTTATCAGGGTTAGCCGTTACAGCCAAGTGTATTGTTTTCACATGACCAGCCGTCTAGGCATCAGGGCGGCGCGGTAGATGTCATTTGTTGTATTAACGCCAGTCTGACCCAATGTGTCTAACTGACGCGAGATAATAATACCATTATGCAGCCTGGATGCAATGCCTTTGTACATCCTCATCCTTGTACAACAGAAAATTACGTCATTTACACAAATTTAAGCATATATTTACAATCTGTAGACTTTCTGTGGCCTTTTATCCAGAAAATGCGATGCGGATGGGCGTCAGTCTATGCATCAGAAGATACTATTTAAAAATTACATTTACTTTAATCTCTATAAATTTGTAATGCAGTTCCAAATCGAGCAAATACTCCTCCTTGAATTACCTTTGCATAGTACAGCATATAAAATAAATAAATTCGGTCCCGGGACCACTTAGTAATAGCCTCTATCAGGTCAAGCTTTGAACAACCACAGTTAAAAGGTTACCTCTGTACGACCTGATATTATTTTATTGATAAGACATTATGCTAAGGTGTGTGGGTGTCTATCCTTGACCGTTTTATTGCACAAAACTACTATTCCTCCTTGCCAATTGCTTCGTAGCATGGATGCTGTAAATAACCTTAGGGTGAAGGGTTTAAAGTTCATTCGTCTTTCAAAATGAAAATTGGAAATGCGTATACTAGTGGATTCTGCGCAGACTTCGTGACCTCATAAAACCGCAATTTTTAGTCCAATTCGTCGCAACCATCTATCTTTAATGCGATGAAGTAGTTACTGAGGCAAGACCCTATTACGCAGTTCAGAATGTCCAAAGCTAATGACATTAGCTGCAAGTAAAATGAATGACAGTTCAGCTTTTCTTATTATTGTATTTTCAGCCTGCCATTTACGAATGCATCTCTTAATCTATTCGGAATGAACATACCACCACAATCGTCAAGGTCGTAGAATCGAAGGTTTACCATACGTAGGGCTGTTTTCTTGTAGATACTGATTATCTTAGTAACAGTCCCTCTTTTTCCCTTATTTAGATCAACTACAAGGACGTCACACGAGCCTCGCATGCAGAGGTGGTAAAACTGCTGGAAAACCTGAAATCCAACCACGTGGTGTTGGAGGTGACACGCCCCAAACCCGAGGGACCCGGCTCTGGCCAAAAGGAGCACTTCGTCGTCTCACGCCATAGCACTCTGGCCAGTGGTGCGTCAAGTTCTGCAGTGAAAGCTATCGTCCAACGTAGTGTCAGCATGGCAGGGCGCGTGAACCACAACAACGGACCGGCCCCCTACTCACCCATGCTGCCCATGCATGTGCCCCAGCACAGTCAATGCATCTCGCCCGGGGAGAGTAGTGCCTCTAGCACGGGTAGGAAACTAAATATTTGTTGTAGATGAGTCATGTGTGGGCCGTAATATCCTGTACATTATAAGGGAAAAGTTTAGGCGTTGCTCCCAGAGGTCCATCTGAATGCTGTTTTATTCCCCAGTGTGACAATATGTCTGTCTTATTTTGAGAGCGATTCTCATTTAATGCAGTTTTTGGTCATCAACCTAAGGTTTACTTATCATTCCAAACCAATCAAAAGGTAAAATATGGAATGGTAAGACGGGCCTGTACTGGAATCAAAAGACTTCTACCTCAATGTTTCTAGTACATCTCTTATTTATGCATAATTACTACATTGAAGTGTTCAAATGTAAATTAGAACATGATTTAGCTCCAGACTGCTTCACCAGTTACTAAGTAAGATTCTCTCACGCTTTCTTAAGTTTATTATTCGGATACCAATTATACCGAGAGTCGTCGAATATTGGAATTCCATTGGTAAGTAAGTCGGAATACTGCTTTGCTCCCATGGTTCCAAGTGGATGTGTCTTCTTGGGACATTCACCAAAAATCTCTTTCGTTTTGTCTATCTTGCTAACACAATTCAGTGAAAAATCAACAACAACTCTGGTGACGATGTAGGCAGCCAGCAGCACTGAATAGCTGCCATTCTTTTAATCAAGGCTGAGCACACTTTTGTAAAACAAACATTTCAACTGATAAGGAAATCTGTCAAGCTAGTTAGAGAGTTGGGGTCTTTTGATGACGGTTTAAAAAGTACTAACGTTGCTGAAAATGTTTGTGTCATTTGGATTCAGTGGATGATTTTTATACCACCATTTGGACTAATTTAGTGTTGCATTTCAAATTTGTGGAAAACTTTAAGATACTTTCCAGTTGTAGATGTGATTTTTTCGAAAGCTTTGCCATCTGACCTTTGGAACTTCAAGTCGATTTAAGCTTTGGCTTAGTTTGATTATTCTTTTTGGTCGCTTTAAGTGTGCTTGATAAAAAATTCTACTAAATGCATTGTTTTTAGGGCTATATCTTTCTTAAGTGTCACGCTTAAAACCAGAAAAGAACTATTGGTTAAGTTAAATAAAACTTTCCCTTTGTCTTCAGGAACATCTTATCACCGAAAATATTTGTTCATTCTCCCATAAAAAACATATCTTTCGGAGTGGCCAGGAATTCCTTATTTTAAACATGACAACTATATATATTTACCAAGGTCATGCATTTTGTTTTGGAAGGAAGGATGAGGAAATCAGTGGTGTCCTTTGCATTCATTTTTGTTGAAAAGACTTGCCTGACTGCCAAGTGAAGATCTAATAGTATGCAAAAGAGTGGTTCCAAGGGATCGGAGTTGGAGGAAGAATGCAAGATTTGAATACTGAAGTATATTTGGAGATAGATGTTTTGACTAGTTGCTTGCGGAAAGAATTCTCTTGCCACCTCAATCGAGTTTCTTCTTGTGGCATCCCTTAGTACACAATGGTAAACTACTTTATTTGAAAAAGGCCTTACATTAGATGGAAGCCCTCTTTCTTACCAGTTACTGCAGGCAAACAATTTACCCTAGAATCAGTGAGAAGGAAAGGAGTTGGAATGCTCTTCTAATGAAAAGTAGATCTTGCTCGAAGAATTCTTTCCGCATATCCTAGTGGCTGATCAGGAGAGAGGCTGAAATCATTGCATTTTAAAGCCTTCAACTATGCAAGCTGTAACCTTTCATCCTTGTGGTGTAGCTCAAAAAGCCCCTCGTCGTAACAACTTTTGCTTTTTTTTTGGAGCGTGAGAAGGTCAGTACTGCCTTTTACTTGGGCTGACCATGTGATAGACAGACAACCAGACAGACGTATTTAGGAGCTTAGTTTTTTTTCTACCCTTTTATGCCCGTGATTCATTTTCGTCAACCTGCATCGAAAGTATTTCCCTAAAATTTTCTTGAACAGAAAGCTGGCTTGGTTTAATGCCGGCTAAATATTCCCCAGGTTTTCATTACACTGACTCTCTGTTCAGTTATGCACAATGTATACATTAATTGGGGGTTACAAGTAGTTCCGGTAATTGCACGTATTCGGGTGCTTTTATCCATTATGCAGTACAATTAAAGTAATCATAGATGCATGAGGGAGCAGAATAGAGACCCCTCATAAGGGCATTAACTCAGTCCCAAAGCCGATCATTAAAAGCCTCATATTATTTCAAAGGGAAGAAGCGAAATCACAACTCTCTCTTTTTAATGCTCTGTGCTACTTAATTCAATTAAGGATTATTCACTGGAAAATAAGTAGTTAGGGTTGACCTTGTTGCAAGTAATACCGCCTGGAACATGACAGAATGGGCATATACTACATATAAATGTTCAGTGAATATCTTGTGAGTAGACTATTTCTTTGTGGATAAAACATAGCGCCAAAACTACTCCAACGCTAATAGATATAGGGAGAGATTGTAAACAGACCCAAGATTGCCACACTCTGGTATATTCAGAAGCATGCGGAGTCTTTCGTTGAAGTCATGATAGATCACTGGGTGAAATTTCACACACACTAATTACAATTTCAAGGCTCTTCCTCTGGTTTAAATCACACCGCAACGTGCAAAATTAAACCGACCCTAAACACGCACAAAACTGGTCTTGGTAGCTAATACCTGCTTAGCAAAAACTTACTGCAATCTGATTAAAACACTTTTGATCTTAGCGTGGTTGGCGAGCCCTTGAAATTTTGTGTGTGTTCATTTTAGATGAACCATTTTGCAGTCATTCCGGTAGCCGAGCTGGTCCACGAGCGACCTCACCTCAAATTATGGATGGTCGAACTAGCGGCAGTCGACAGCCACTCCCACGTATTCACAATGCGGCCGACTACCGAATTCGGCACAAATTTCCAAACACAAAGTTCGCTGAAGCTATTCGACAAACGCAGGTTCCGGGCAAACGCAGTCTTCAGCCAATTCCCAAATCACACACTGTTAACTCGTTCACCAGGGTAATTCGGCTATTTCTCATCCTTATAGCCTTCTAGCTGCACGAATTACTGTTGATAGAAAGAAACTGGTGCGCAGTTGTAGATTATGCATGTACATTCATTTAGCCGAAAAATCACATTTTTCTTCACTTTGTTCATGCTGCTACCAGTAGTGTTATGCAATAAATTTTAGTGTGCAATAAACCCCAAGGCTAATGGAGGTAGGACAAAACAATCAACGCTAAAATTGATAAAAAACTACAACGTTAAACCTCTCTCATTACTTTTGTTGACAAGGTAGGCTTTCTCACTTGAATTTGGCTAGTCTTAGTCATTCGTCTCACGGAAATTCATTGCATTATTTTCTTGTTCATGCATTACGCCCAGCGGTTACCACGCAACATTTACTAAAGGCCTTGGTGCTGGCCAATCGTGGCTTTTCTGGGGCGTTGGCACTCAACCTCTGGTAGGCATTACTCACCACTGATAAAGGGCGTTACATAAATTACCTTTTAAGTTATGTTAACTCCCGGTACCGGGTAGACAAACAGCCTTTAGGGTTGGACGACGTTTTACCTTCGCACCCATTAGCTGTTTGCGGAGCTGAAATCGCATCCCGGGTACAACTATAGATGTCTATCAAGTAGACCAAATTTTTTACGGTCCAGCGAAAAAAATGAGTATTTTAGTCTTTACAGGTGGGATTATGGAATAAAAACATAGCCTGACTTTTGTTACTTAATGACCCAGGTATTTCAGACGAAAAGCGTGTGATGAGACGAATCACTTGGTCGCTTCAGCAATAAATATTTACATGGAATACCTAAATTTACTGGAAATGCACTTTCAAAGCTTTAAAGGACTCGAAATCGCCAAAAGTTTATGCAAAAAAGAAAAAAAAGGCGGACTTTTCCTTTTTTGGAAAGACTAGCAACCGTATAAAGCATCAAACTTTAGTAGTAACCACGACGATAATTGCAACAAGGTCGCGCTTTACAATCAAGTTATGCATTTAAGTGTTTATCAGGACTTTCATATAATTTAGCCAATTTAAAACAGAAAAGCATGGCGAAAAAGTGTTTTCTAAGGTGTTTACTTCATTTTTAGACGTTAAATAACTGTGGGATTTGTTAAGTAAATGGCCGAGTCTTTAACTTAATTTACGACATTTCTGACATAAATGCCTTGAAAGAAACCAATTTATTGCGTGCTGATAATCCAGTATTCTAAGCGACCATTACAACTGGAAAACGATCAAGAATGGATTGGTTCAGCCAAAAATTAGCAAAATTTTAGCGTTTTATCTGTCATATTTTGAACATAACTTTATTTCACAACACCCAAGCAAATGAATGGACCAAGATTTTCTAGAAGAATAATGTATGACAAGGTGATGCATTCGTTTTAGGATATCGGGACAGACATATCGGGCCTCAACTCCACCGGAGCCACAGATTCAATGAGTTCCTCCCTGCGTCATACCGGCCGTCAAACCTATGTGAACAACTCTAAATTGGGTCGTCCAGTCCGTTCAGTGCCTCAGCCGCAACTCTCCTTCCTTCCACACTACCACTCTCCGATCCGTCGAGGCCATGAAACGTCTGGACCTCACAGACGCGATCGCAGCAGCCGTCATCCAACCGAAAATGCACGTCCACTCTCCATGATCAGTGGAGGTGATGACTTCGGCCCCAGAAGACGTCCTAGCGTGGCTGAAGGCGCCGGCATCTATCCGTGCTCCCTCTCCGCCATGTCGGCGAAAACTCCGCCACCAGTACAGGGTAGCACTTTTGACCCAGATGACCTGGTGCTTCCACCACCAGAGGAGTTTTGCTGCTGAGGCTGTCCTCTTCACCTAACTGTGGCTGTGGTTAACCTGTTCCTTGGTGTCCGTTCTCACATTATCTCTCTCTCAGTTCTACTGCTACCAGGTGACGCCTATTCCACGCATTCCTGTGAGATGATAAATCGGGCTAATATTGAGTACCTACGTCTTCTGTTCCTTTCTTCCTTCTGTGTACTTGAAACCTTGGTAGACACCTGTGTATTATGGTGCACGATTCGTGTGAATATATAGCTTTTTTACCCCCAAGCCTTTGCCTTTCATTTTTGATTTGGAAACTAACACTTTCACTGGATATACTTCATATCAAGTAGAAAAAATCCTTCGAATTAACAAACTCGTAAACCTGTAGGAGAGTAATTCTGGGTCCTCCAATTGTGATGCGTTAGTTAATTCGGCTATGGGTAGCTAGAAACTGAGATTTGGATAACGAACGTTTCGTTGTCAGTTAGTTTTAAAGCCACTAAGGACTAATTTGAGTTTTCCGGTGAGCGGAATTGGAGATCACAAACCGCGTGGATGGACACGGAAAAGGTTTGATTTGATCCGAGGTTAATAAAATAATCAAAATAAGCATAGCTCCTAATAACGAATAAAGTCATTACTTCATTATAGCGGTCTATAGCAGTGTATCAATTTTTGACGTTAAAAAACACAACTCTGATTTGACACATGAACATATATCTTCGCAACTGACAACTAGTGGATACCAAATCAAACTTTGATCATGGCGGCTTACGCGTCGCTAAACTGTGGAGGCATTCGCGCTGGATGTAGTTGTCATTATATGAACCAGCATGAGCCCATGTTTTACATAATGCTAAAACTGGCGGGAGAATAATCGGCGTAATGGACAATTGATGACGCATTTGTGAGAATTGGGTAACTGTATCTAGGCCGTACCTTCAAAACTCCATTTGCATATCATTTCTCACCCTAAAATGTAAAGCAAATAGCCATTTTAAGGCAAGAAATGCAAATGTATTATTGGATAGGTTCAAAAATAATAAAGAAGACTGACATTGAAGCTAAAATGGAATGGAAAAACCCAAGTTTGATAACAGAAAGTGGTTACCCGGAATCAAAGACTACTATAAGTGAATTGATTGTTTATCGTAAGATGAAAAATTGGAAAATGAACAATTTAAAGCTGCAGAAGCGCCGGTCTACAGGCAAGATACCGAGCTTCCTGTGAAAAAATCAGTAAGGAGCTTTAATGCAAAGAAAAAGACGCTCACAGGTGGCAGAAAAACTGTGTTCTTGAAATGTGCCGCAATGCACAACCACACAAGAGATTAGAGGAAGTGAGATGTGATGCCATTACTTAGTTGACAAAGCTTCAAGTTAAGTAATTACTGCTTCATCTCCATACATTTTCACCTTTGTAATAAAGTGAAAAGCTAGTCTAATGCAGGGGATAAGTACAGTTTTCCACATTTTTTGCAATAAAATTGCAAGTTTTGCTTCCCTCAAGGTCGGTGCAAATTTGAACTAGTACAAGAATTGGCAATTGCAGCTTTTTAAAGAATTAAGTCGTTGTAACTCCACTTAAAAGGACTAAGAAATCAATTAAAAATTTGGCTATATGGTCTACTACTTATGTGCAAATCAAGTAGCACGTTAACAGCTAAGACATTTAATTTACCTAATTAGAATTCTGAGATTCCACATATCCTGCAGCTCGCTTCGACCGTCTTTGATTGCTTAATGCAAAGGTTTCAAGCACAAATGATACGACCCTCTGATATTGCATGTTAGATGGTATTTTTTGAAATTGTGAACAAATATTGCATTTTTCATGATATTTTCGAAAGTGGATTTCGTCCCAAAGTCCGTGCGTCAAATATGTACTGATGGAAAGTCTATTTAGCAGGAATGTGACTACTGAACGAACAATACGCTGAAGATTCTAGGAGACAATTTTGCGCATGAATTAAGCTACTTGAGAGGCTTCAAGTCAGTCCTCAATGTGCTGAACACGAATTAAGCAAAAGCAGATGCATCTCCAGCTATGCGTGAAATAACAAAAAAGCGACATATTTATTATTCCAGGAGCCAGAACGGTTAAAGTATGTTGGCAAGGTGAAAAAGCTAGAGGGGTCACAGTGCAAGAATTAAACGAGCTTTTTGTTTTGCTTTGGATAAAGTGAAGTTTCTCAAGCTTCACATTTAGGTATAACGACTTCTGCTAAAAGCAATGACCATTAGTTGATTCCTAAGGAATCTTATAGTTAAAAATAGAGGTAGACAGCATGCAATACTTTGATGGTTCAGGAGGGATCCACGTCAAGTCTTAGACACTTGGAATCCCAGGTATGCGTGCTCTAGACAAGACCTGAAGAGCTAAAGTTAGACTGGATGGATGTCACGCAATACCTGAGCCTAATTCTGTGTGAGTAGGAGAGCGTTTTTTATTTTGTACAAGTATTCAGAATTCCAGGGTAGAAATGCTTTTTTTTAAGAAAATAAATCACCTGACGTAAAATTTCCCCTTTAGAGGCAGTTTCTATGACGGCGGTAGTGTCCGGCAGAGAGTGACTCATGCCAAGGAGTCTTGGAAATAAAGCAAAAAGGATTTAAGGTAAAATATGACAATCACAAGTGACATTTATGGCAGTTAGAAGAATAATATGGCAAAATCTAAAACAGACGTTTAGGCGACCCGGCAATTAATCACTGAAATGTCAGGTTTTCAGGACGGTTGGTATTTCTGATAATTCAACATGCGCTTGAGCTGGAAATTAGCTACCGGCAACTTTTCAGAGAAATTAGGCGAAACCAGGTAGTTGAAGGTTGTGTAGTCAGGCAAAGCAACAAGGAATTGGTCAATTTACTTCTGACAGACGACATTAAAAAGTCGGATGCCTGAAACTATCTCAATGGGAAATCGGCTACCTCACTTCTGGTGTTTTATAATCTTGCTGTGGCATTAAATATTTTTTATTTTTGCTACTTTCCCACATATTAAGAAAACCGCAGCGTCACATACGCGACGATGGAAGTGAACGTACTAATATTGCAGCCTAACTTTAGAGCACAGGACATAACGATATGCTTAGAGTAGCAGCGGCAGTGAATATGTTTTTCTTTAATTTAACATTCACTATCACTCAAAAAGTGATGGCCACTTGGAAAAGAAGCCGCATGGTAAAAAAGCTGAGTAAATTCTATCGTATGAAGCCAGTGAAGGTCAGAAGGTGAATCACATTGCATTGTCAACTTTAAGCCCTTTCGGAAGCTTTAACACTTCACCAGGAAGAATTATCAAATGTAAAAAAAGATAGCAAAATGTCGTCCGAAAGTGAATGACCGTTAACAGACGTGGCGACTTTTCTTTGGTGGTACAGCAGTAAAAGCATTCATTAGATCTTTACAACTGACATCCTTTAAGCCTCGTGAAATGACTGGAAAAAATACGCACTTGTAAACGAGCTATTAAAAGGTCCCTTTGCATTTTAAATGCATTCCACACGTCAGGTTCCCTCAAGCAACTCCACCCTTGTCGGGGTGATAGGATAGTGTTGACAGCAAAATTAAGTGCATGTACTGATTGATTAAAATGTCTAAGATATAAAAAATTAACTCTTACTTTACGAGTAGGTATTTAAGATTTAACGAACTGATGCATCATGATGACAGTGAAGTTCGATAAAATTACGATTATGTTTAACTCCTCGTTTTGGTTTCTCGGGCACTTAAGGCTCCGCGATCGTACTTCTACTGGGCGGCATGGCCTTTGGGTCATGCCAGCGGCACCCCCCCGAGACCCAGTCCTCCTGTACATTGGAAATACATATTCTGTTCTAGTATTATGTTTTCTTTCCACTTCAGGAAAGTTTTGGGGAGCTATCGTCCCTCTGAACAACTCCGAAGTCCATCTAGGTGCTGCAAATAATGTCACATTAGTTGAAAGAGAAAATTATTGTCAAGATGTTTATGCTATTTTTGTCATACACCCACTGATATAACGTATTTACCTCCATTCCCATATTTGGCAACACAAATCGCATGCAAAATTGGTGCAGCATCAACTTTCTGCATGACTGTAAAAAAAAACTTCGACAGTTTTCCACTAAAAAACAGACTTTTTCTCAAAGCCTGTAAAAGAAACGATGTTAAGTATGGATACAAATAAACAGTAATTCTACACCTTAAGGTAAACAGAAGGGTGATATGTGATCCAAGGCGAGTCGAAATATTTTGCTAGGGGAAAGTGAGCCTTTAAGATACTGCTTTCACCCACTACACTTGTTTAGATGTCTGCTTCACATGGAAGCCCTTGAAATGGTAGAATGTAAAGATTTGAGACCGCCCACAGACTTGACTAGATGGAACTGCAGTTCCCTGTTTGACTTACCTTTGGATTAAAGCTTCCAGTTCTTTTTCACGATAGGTTAACTAAACAAGGAAGAAAAAAGTGTTTGCGGACAAATGAATGAAAAATTGAACCTCATCGTACTTGCTTTCTATGAAAAAATAGTTGAAAGTGAACACTTCTTTTACGAACAGGAGGAATGCGAGATATACTACTGTTACTGTTACAATATTTGCGTCTGGTGTTCTAGCAAAACAGACATTGAAATGCTGAAAAATGTGTAAAGACTTGTGAACTCAAGAAAAAACTTTACCTGCGTAGTGTGAATAAATGCGTCTAAGTAATGTGACATTTTGGCAGTATCAGGTAAAAGATTCATGACACTGCTGACACAGTTATGAGCTACGCTTTTCACAGATATTTTTCTGCATATACGTAAGCAGTCAGTGAATTTTCTACTACAAAGGCTGTGAATTCTTGACCTTTTGAGTTTAGTTATGATACGTGTTGACTTAGTGCTGCTAAAAGTCAAATTATTAAATCCTAAAAGCCTTTAATTACTGGGAGCTTGAGAAGGAAGCGTAATCTCTTAACTCGTACAAAATTTAATTGTCGATATTTATGACAGTTCCATTTGACGGTTCCTCCTGCATTTAGATGGATCGACTGCAAAGGTTTTGCG